AAAATAATAAAAAAAAAAAAAAAAAAAAAAAACGAAGGGTTTTTACCTCCAAGGCGCATACTACTAAATGAAAAAACAGTAACGTAGAGGGTAGAAGATCCTATTTTCTTTTACATGACTCTATTGCTACTTAATAAACCCCATTTTTTCCCCCTACTCGTTTTCTCCTTTTTTCTATTTTTTTCTTTTTTTTTTTTCCTCTTTCGATTCCGACCGGTATGTATTTATGTATATGTGTATGTGTATGTGTGTACGTACGTTGAAAAGAGTAAGAATGCAATCTTGCTCTTCAGCAATGTAACTCTACAGATAAAATAAAAGAAAATAAATCAATCTCAGAGAAAATGAGGGTGAATACAAAAAAAAAAGAGAGATGATCTGTGTACATGTCTGTGTATCTCTATCTCTGTCAATTGTCAGAGTGTAACACAGCACAAGATATAGAGCATATCTCACTATACTCTTCACATCACACAAACACCGTGAACAGTTATTTCCCCATCACTTACACCATCTGCACATACACACAGATACACATATATACACATATACATATACACAGAGAGACAGAGAGAGATACTCTCACTAATTCATACCTTCTCCTGTCCACCCACTTATACACACATACTATATTCATATATATACTGAATGAGAGATAAATGTGTAAAGTTAGTGAGAGGAGGGAAGGAAAGGTAGGGGGGAGGTGAAGAAAGAGAGCAGTCTTCTCATTTAACGCATCAATCGTGGTGTCTCTTCTGCTTCCCGCTCTTTTTGCAACAACTCATCCTCCTCTGCCATAACACGCGAAACGACAATTTGTTCAACCAGTGCGTCGAAGGCTGATTTGAAATTATCGCTCTGGTAGTCCAGAGAAGTTTCCACGGCACGAATACCTCTTAATTGTTTTGGCATAGGTGGAATGGCGTTATCGCCTACGGCCACCTCCGGCATGGATGAGTGGTGGGAGAAGATGAGTGAGTGCTTGTCTGGCACCCGCACCACAAAGTTATTCGCCTCATCGAGTTGATCCTGATCCAGTGCGAAGTTCTTATACCACAGCACGAGTTCCTTCTCCGCCCCGCGGATCTCTGGATTGAAGACGTAAATGATGCCGTCGGCGTTGGCGGCGACGGCCGGCCACCCCGCCTGGTGTTTGCTGCTGCCCGAGAGGTCCCACAGCTGCACGACGGCCTTCCGGGCGGCCGGCGGGTGGTGGCCGGTGGGGCGGAGGTGGTCGAGGCCGAGTTCGAGCTCGAGAATGCGCAGCGGGCGGGTCTCGCGGTACGTCTTCGTCGGGGCGTCCCGCATGCCGGCGAGGAAGTCGGCGAGGGTTGACTTGCCGCTGCGACTCGGCCCCAGCAGCAGGATCTTCACCTTCTCCACGGACATTACAAATATATATATATATATATATATGTGTCGGTATGTCTGTGTGTATACACACCTCTCTCTCTCTATCTATCTCTCTCTATTTACTTTGTATTCTCCTTGAATATTGTTCTTGTTATTGTTTTGTGTGTTATTGTTTTGCTTTTTTCTTTTTTCTTTTCTTTTTGAGGGGGGAACTCACTGGGCACCCGTAATGAGAAGAGGAAGAAGAGAACCATCAGAAAAGAAGAAAGGGGAGAGAATGATAGTGATAACAGAGAGCAACACAGAAGGAAGAAAGAAATAGAGAAAGAAAAAAGTGATTTGTTAATATTCCTCATACAGAGGTGTTTCTAACTATACATGGATAGAGGGAGTTTTTTTATTTGTTTGTTTGTTTGTTTGGTAAGATACACAATGACACATCAATATAGAACATCACACACTTTGCTTGCAATGCAATTATGTACTTGTATTGCACACAAAGACAGTGACGAGCACAGCAGTAGTCAAGAAAGGAACGCAGTTGAGAAAGAAAGAAAACGAAAGAAAAAAAAAAAAACTTATTCTGCCAACATCCAAAGAAAAAAAAAAAAAACACGGGGTTTTCCATCAATTAAAGAAACAAAAAAAAAAAAATTAGCGACGCATATACATATATAGATAGGTCACCAGATAAGTAGATAGATAAATATCCAACACAACTATTATAATACAGTCCGAACAATAACAATCATAATCATAATAATAATTAGTTTAATTCATGTTATGTCCTCTCTCTATCTCTCTCTCTATCTCTATCTCTTTATCTTTCTTAGCTCACTGCTTCTTGTTTGTCGTGTAAACGATCCAGTAATTCACGTACAGTTACCCTTTCAGATAACTCAACGGGTCGGAAGAGATCCCCTGTAAGTGAGGAGTTACATCCCCACACTGCATGACGCCTCTCATCCACGCGTTCGACAAGACTAGTATAATAAGGAAGATCTACCTTTCCATGTCCTCCTGCAAAGTTATCCCATTGTCGTTGCAATTCAGAAAGAAATAATGTGTGATCAATACTAGACATTGGGCGAGTCCCACGACGAATAAGTGTCTGTGTACGTAGATAAGCCACTGCCTCCTTTACGGAGACCCGTGGTAACTCCTCCAGCACAACAGGAGCCTTCTCTGGTTTTAACTCACTCCAACCAGCAAGTGCCACTCGGAGTGCGGGAACCCACATGCGAGCATCCTCTTCAGGGATATTTTTAAACGCTTTATACATGAGTTGAGACTCGCTGGCCACACTGTACCGTTTGGCGTGGGTGTAAAAACTATCTTCCACTGTCTGCCACGATTCCTCAACATCATCGCAGATACATTTAAATAAGATGTGTGCAAAGGTGGTATCCCACAGAGCCCCAGTATTCTCTACAGAAGCAGCTGCAGAATCTGTATTCATACGTTCTGGTAATAAAACCGTATAATGAAGTAAAACAGGTGATTGCGTTCGATTCCCTCCATCATTTCGGGCCGCATTAAGAATCTGCTCAAGGCGAAATAATGGATAAGAAGGATACATTGCAAAGATAACACTTGCAAACTGTACAACTGGTATCATACCACGCGAACCACCTTGTGTATTTCGTTCCATATCTAAATAACGACAAATAGAGAGAAGTAACGCTCCATCAAACTCCAACATACGGAAAAGGCATTCATTTACTTTACCTCTCGTCACTAATCCAAAGGCATATGTTAATGATCCACAACATCCACCACGTGAAATAGCATCTAGAGCATATGCAATTTGTAAAGATCTATTATGTGCTACAAGTGTTTTTTTACTTTCGCCTGATAAAGAAGAGGTATCCCCATCTGTATTAGATGACATTTTCCACAAATAATTTCGTGTAAAAGTATCTAAAGGTACTCGTGGATCTGTTTTATCCCATTCAGATAATATCATACGAATTACACGCTCGGCAACAAGTGGATTTGTACGAAGGTACTCCACACTGGAAATAGATCGTAAATGTTCTGGTGTATAAGGATTATTACCTGCAGGTGTAAGCCATAAATGATTAAGCATATCATCATCCGAGCAGGCAGCTACAGCATTAGCAGCATTAGCTGCTTTTTCACTAGTGGTATCTTGAGCAGCTAATGCGGTTTCTGTTTCTTTAATTTCTGCTTCAAATTCTTTTATTTTATCTAATGATGAATTTTTATTAAAATCATTAGAAAGTTTAAGAAGCGTTTTTGCAGCTTTTTCTAGTCTTTGATCACGAAGATGAGACCACCACTTTTCTACTGCATGTTGTCTATTTACAAATGCTGCCATCACAACATTTCTAGCTATTTGAAGATCTCGTAAATGTTCATCATTTCGACGTTTCTCAAGAAGAATTTCATTTTGTTGTTTTCTACCTTCCACTGCTATACCAATATTGTGATCAGAGAGTATTGAAAGACGAGTGGATAATTCAATACACTGCATAGCATACTTCCCATTAAGTTCTAAAAGATCCTGCACACGACGACTTAGTTCAGCCCGTTCCTGTTGTAGAGATTCCACATCCTGCTGTAGTTCATCAATTGCCTTTTCATCCTCCGCACGAGCAATCAGTCTTCTCACGTAAAGGGCATCTTTTCTCTTTTGTGTTTGGGCCGCTAATGCAATATCATTAGGCAGAACATTCATATGCAATAACTCAATTTGGTGTTTTAGAAGTTCCTCCAATTTTTTTTCTCGCTCCTCATGAGCTGCAATTTCCGCTTTTAAATGATCTCGTTGGGTGGAGGCCTCTTCTACGAGTTTCGCCATTCGCGCCTCCATCACTCGCATGCGTTCATGTGCCGCGGCCACTTCTTCATTTTCTGCCGAACTCCACATTGGGACGGTGGGAGCAGTTTGACAGTTTACGGTGTTTGTGGCTGTTTCCATTAACTCGTCAATGAGCTCAAAGAGAAAGCCGAGCGTTCGGCGCAGCACTGGGCGGTAAATACCGGCGTTGGAAGTGAAGAGGGCGAGTACGGCCCGCGCCAGTTCTAATTTGGTAATGCGCTTTCGTGTGGGTGAGTTCTCCACACCCGTGCTGGGAAGGGCAACACCCATACTCCCATCTACATTAGTATTAGTATTAGTATTATTATTGTTACTATTATTATTATTATTATTATTATTATTATTATTATTATTATTATTACCACCTCCATGTTCCATTTCTTTCAGCCACATTGGATATTCCTCAGCTGCTCGCACCGCCACAGGAGAACTATCATTACCACTACCGCTATTACCATTATCACTATGGATTATGCCACTGTTAAGATCCGCCGTACTTCCCTTCCCAGTGTTACTCCCATCCTTTTCTGTTGTGCAATCTACAGAAGTTATAAAGAGAGTTTTGTGTTTGCCTTCAAGACTATTTTGGCTGGGCCCGTCTATTACTCCAGAGAGTTTCTCCACATCCTCTGCAGCATCCCAAGCCTCCAGCATATGCTGAAGCTGCTCAAGCAACGCCGTCATTCCCCACGGATTACTACAAATCCTTGTAGTAACAAAAAGAAGAAGGGTTATAAAAAGAAATTAAATAAATAAATAAGAAAAAGAAAAAAAAAAAGATAAAGAGGAACAGTATCTGTTTGTTTTGTGTTTTTTTTTTTTTTTCTTTCTCTTCCGCTTCTTATTTGGCTCACAACAATACAAAAAAGGAAAAGCAAGATATCTTTCATATTGGAGTCTGAATACGTATATTGATAAGGGGGTATACTTGTATCCCCGTCCGTCCCTTATATATATATATATATATAATTCTCTTTTCACCCTTTACTTTCAGAATCAGAGCGTTTTAACTAAAAAAAAAAAAAGAGCATCTTGAGATCCCTCCATTCACTCACTCTCACCCTCTTTCTTTCTTTCTCTCCTTTATTTTCTTACTCCCGTGTAAGTATAGGCCTCTCCATTAGTGTGTAACGCCAAAAAAATCGAATGTGAGAGGGATGGATAATAATACATAAAAAGACTTACTTAACTAAAGTTGAATAGAATAACATTAACTTGTTCCCAAAAAAGTAGTCAACCGTATTTTCCAAATCACATGAAAGTACTTCTCCATGCAATAACTTCATCAATCATTGTTGCCGAAAATCTCAATAAGTTTTGCATCCCATCGTCGCAGTCGTCTCCTTGCGATACGGCAGAGATGTGACAATTCTATAAGGAATACGGTTTCAATCTGTAAAGCGTTCTCAACAGCAGATACTCTGGTACTAACACTATTAGTACTAGTGGAGGTTATTGACCATTGCTGTTCAAGAACCGTACAGACATCTTGTGTGAAACTCTTCACACTGAGCAATGTAGTTGATAATTGTTGCTTAAGTATATCACGTGTGCTTGCTGAGAGAGTGTCATCGTGTATGAGCAGCAGCAGTGTGGTGGTGAAATTTGCCAAATCCCTCTTGGTGGTTTCTACAACGTCAGAAGCATTAATAGAGATATCTTTCAAAGTACTTGCATTCAATGCGTCTGTTGTTGTACATACGAGGAAGAAAGATAAGAATGCAAATATAACTAGAAAGGGAACACAACTGCTATTATGTGAGAAAAGAGAAATCTTTGGTTTCCAACACATTACCACATCGATAACAAGAGTAATAATAATAATAATAATGATAAGGGGCCTATTACTATATATATATATTTTTTTTATTTCTCCAGTGACTTCAAAATAGTAGAGACATAAAGAAAAAAGAAAAGGAAAAAAAAAACACACACACAATCATTGATCTAAATAGTATCTAGATAATAAATTTATATTTCACGTATAGTTCAAAAAAAAAAAAAAAACATATCTATGATTCCATTTTCTTTTTTTCTTTTCATTTCCCTCCCATTTTTCTCCCACGGTAATTTTTACAGTAATGCCCATAGTTTCTCCACCCAACGAACCATAGGCGCCTGAGAAGCATCCTCACGTGTTGCTTCTGCGGCCTCACGAAAACACGTCTCCACGGCATTCATCACTTCTCCCATTCGCATCATTGTTGGGAGCGTTGTGCCTCCGTCGGTGAATCCCCGTTGGGGTGAATTCGCCAGACGGAGTTGCTCCAGCACGGCGTTTTCAATCATCTCCACAAAGTTATCCGGATTTACCCGCAGTATCGTATAAGGCTTCTTCACCCCTTTAGAGGGTTGTAAAATACGTTGTAGAAGTAATAAACGGGCAATCACAGGAGGAAGTGTGGCCAGAACTGTATACCATTCCTCTACGGGTTTGTCGAATGCCTCTTCCTGTATATTATACCACGCCGCGAGTTGATGTAATTGTCCTTTCAGAGACATTGTACTTCGACCCATAGAGCCATGACTACTGGCCGGGCCAAAAGAGAATACCACGCGGGAAATCTGTTGTAAACAACACAACACATGTTGTTGGGTGGAAGAATTAAAAGGATAAAGAAGTGTTACCGCTACAATCAATCGTGCAATAAGAATATCTGAAAGTTTTCGTGCATTTTCATCCAGTGTGGAAGTTTGTGGATCAAAAAGATAATAGAAATGAGACATGAAATGTTGTATTTGACTTTGCAATTGTCCCACACCTGCAGCTTCCTGTCCTTGAGCTCCACCAACGCACATTGAGATAGAGTCAAGAAGGAGTCCAGATGCGGATTTAAAAAAAGGTTGTATGGCTTGTTCACTAATAGATTTAAATTTGTTTGTCAAATCACGTAATTGACGACGTTTATCCACCACATGTTTACGTGCATTAGAACTAGTCTCTCCTCCTTCATCTTCCTCTTGATCAATTCCTCTTTCAACCCCAGAGATCCATCTATCTGTAGCTCGATCTTCTGTAAAAAGTTCTTCTGGTAAAGAAGCTAATAAAGCTTCCAAGTCATTACTTAAAAGTGTACATGCGTTACTTACACATATGTGTAATAATTGAGCACTCGTAGTATCACCAGAGACGGAGGGAAGTGGAGGGAGTGGCCATTTGTTAATCGCCTCTGTTACGGGTTGTATAAATGTGGTTAAAGACTGAATAACACAGTCCAGTACGATAGAGAGTGCGTATGGGTCTTGACGGTACATGGTAACATCTTGTGTGGCCACTACGGTGTAACTACGTGTTTCCAACACCTGCACAGCCGCAGGCACATGTGGTCGTTGAAGATCCACCACGATACTCATACTACTAGGACGACTACTATTATTACTTGGAATAATAGATGGTAATTTTGAAAGTATATAATGTAAACGTTCCTTATGTCGATCCATCACATGAGCAGCGAAACGGTCATTTACTTCTTGTGTAACTTGTGAAAGCCAAATACGTTTTAACTGTTCTACCCCACCAGGTGAAGTGTTAGAAAATAAAGAACTACTCGTTCGCCTCATGGCGAGAGTGTCCATTTCCATAAGTCGACTAAGTAATTCCAATAGTTCTCTCATATCAACTAAAAATGAATTTAAAAGACTACGGTATTGTAATATATCAGATGCTAATGCGGCAAGAAAATTAGGACGTCTTTGAATAGCCTGTAAACGTTCACGAAGTTTCTCTGTGACTAAATGCCAATAATCCCCTAACACAGATGTTGGATTCTCTATAGCACTGAGATAAGGAATATGTGTAACAGGATCCACTCTTTTTAATAAAACTCTCCAAACAGCTACAACTACTTGAGTATGTTGTGCTATGTTTGTAAAGGCTGACTTCAGACGTGAAAAGATTACTTCACGTGTTCGCATATTTATATCACTTGCAGAACCATTATTTCCAAGGTTCACTTCATCTGTCATACTCTGTAAATCTAAATCTCTCATTAATGACTTCATTACTTCACGTTTTTGTTCTGTCATAAGACTTCCCAATACACGAGGTAGACTACCAAGAATAAAGAAACATTGTAGAGAAATGGCGACACCACTTGTATCTTGTGTATCCCCACGTCGAAGCATATCTTGTGCTTTTGTTCGAATGACTACTGCAGCCTTTTCCACAGCATCCATGCGACTATCCACTACTTCTATACCTGTAATATTACTAGTTTGTAAAAGTTCCTCTAATTCGTGAAGTGTACGGGCAGCACGGGCAAGGTCTTGTGGAAGTTGACTCTTCAACCGTGTTGTAAGGCCTATAAATTTAAGAATACTTCGAAGTGTGTTTAGTGCCGCATTTATATTTTCCAATTTAATGATATTAGCATTAATGACCCGATGTGGTTCCTGTACCGTATTCCGCAGTTTACTAATCGAGTGCACGAGCGATGCGGTGGCCTGTCGGACGCCGGCGACATCCCGCTGGGCCCTGCAGGCGGCGGTCACCTGCCGGACCATATCCTCCGCGTTCTCCGACAATATTTTGTGGACCTCCTCCCGCACCGCCTTGGCGCACATCGCCAGCCGGACCCGTTCGGCGTGGCCGTTCGTGGCGTGAAGGGCGTAGCGGAGATAGGCGTCCTCGTCAAAGTCCGGACTCATCAACGTACTGTCGGCGAACATGGCTATTCCTCTTTTTTTGTTTTTTCCCCCAGTTGCTTAATTAGATAGATAGATAGATAAAAGGAAAGAAAGAAAAAGATGAGAAGGTAGAAAGTCTGTTTTAATTATTATTATTATTATTCCCTCTTTCTCTTTCTCTTTCTCTCTCAACCCATTATTATACTACTCATGTGAACACATCAATGCAAAGAAAAAAAAAAAAACGGTCAACACACGTATACCTCCTCCTCCTCCTCCTCCTCCTCCTCCTACACGAACCACATCACGCCTTATGGCAATCAAAGGTATCATTCCACTCATACGAATAAGAAAAGAATAACAACAACAGCCATATATATACACCAATGTATAATTAAAACTTTAGGGTAAAGAGACACACTAATATATATATATATATATATATATATATCGTCTCTTCGCCTGTTTCTCCAGAACCAAAAATAAGAAAAGAAAAAAAAAGAGATTATCATGATGGAACGGAACTACTAACACCACTACGCCCACATAATAATCTCTCACGCACCTTAACAAGAAGTCCTCTCACCGCATCATCCTTACACTCGCTATTAGAATCTAATGTTACCACAGCGTCCTGAAGAAAACTTCTCACATCATCTGATATGGGGCCACGAGCACGCAACACAGAGTTTAATAATGCCTGAATATTAACAATATCCGTTGTGGAAGTACAACGACCTAGTTGAGAAAGAGCATAAAGTAAACGACTTGTTACCTGTAAACTATGTGCATTTAGTGTGTACTTTCGCAATGGTGAACCACATAGTATATCCGTTGCTGAAGAATAATCCTTCGAAATACACTGAAGCCGTACGCATGCAAGAAGTGTGAGGGCAAAATTAAGACCCTCTAATTCATTTGCGACTGCATTCACTAATGTCAAAACAACTTCTTCACTTCCTGTAACATAAAAGTGAGCCAAAGCTTGTATAGTCATAGATACAGCTGTAGGGGTAAGATCCTGTGATACTCCTACAGCTGTTGGAATTGTTTTTGTATTGGACACACGTGCTGCCTGTGAAGATGATAATACCCGAAAAAGACGTAAATGACGGTATGAACTTAAGTGAAAGGCTTTTAATATGTAAGAAATATCCAATTGAGAGAGTTGTGGTGTTATATCAAGAGAACGTCGAGCTATACTGTTAAGAAGTTCACGTGGGGCTGTACATGTTAAGGATACCACACGGCATACATCCATCATAGTTGTCTTGACTTCATCAATGTTGGTATTTAATTCTATATCATCACAGAGTCGCTTCTCTGCTGCGATAAGAATACGTTTGGCCTCTTCAGGATATGTATCTGCTAATATAACGGCACATTGACGTACATCTAAAAGGGGAGTATCCTTAACAGTATTTACAACAGTTTCTGTAAGAGTTTTAATCAATTTGGTATCTTCTACACTGTAACGGTGTAATACTCGTAAAATGTGAACAGCTTCACGTGGAATTAAATCAGATGCTAATTCACGTAATCGAGGTAGTAATATGGCAATAATTTCCGCTGTCTGCGGATGCTTCATTTTCGCTAATGTGAAGAAAAAAGAAGACATAGATATGGCATCTAATAAAAATGTATTCTTTGTATGTTGATTTATTAATGCATAGGTGGTTGGAAGATCAACAGCATCAAAGTAGGCAGCAACACGAAGTGCACGTTGGGTGTGTATAAAGAGAGGATCCTCATCTGTAGAAAGTAATGGAAGTGTACGGAGAATTTGTGTTGCCTCTGTACGAAGTGCGGGATCAAATGTTCGCTGATGTCGTTGTTGCAATGCCATTAACTCTGTTATCCTCTCTACGGCGAGCCGTCCTGTTGGTGAGAGTTGACGGGCCTTTCGTTCCATCACACTGTTGCTATAACTCTGTTTGTGTACTTTAGACCGCATCTTTACAGCGAAATCCCTCGCCACCTTATTAAAGGGGTTACTCATTTTTATTTTTGTTTTTTTTTTTTTTTTTTAATACAGTGAGGCTCTCTTCCTTTTTTCTTTTTTTTTTTTTTACTTCCTATTTCCCCCACTCTTTTTTTTTTTATAGTGACATACAACAGCAGTCAAAAAAGTAAGAAAGTATAAAGAATAAAATAATAACAACAATAATATCAATAATAAAACTAGTTCTAGATAAAGGAACGTAAACATATTTATATATATATATATATATATATCTGTATTTACGCTAATTCGTTTGGAATTGTAGAGTTCGTTCTCTCTTTTTTTTTCTTTTCTTTTTTTTCTTTTTTGTTTCATCAATATCAATAAAGAGATGATGAGATAGCAAGATTCATAACTAGACACACTTGTGGTAGGAAGCTACTTCCACTGCCGCTTACACAGCTATTCTTATTTTTCAACACACTAGTGGTACTAACCACTACACTTTACCCTGTACACACTATCGACAATACCCTCACTCATCCCAGTCTCACACACAGACACAGACACACACACAGACACATAGAAACACTCTCGCTCTCTTCCTTTTGTTTGTTTGTTTTTTTCATGTATGGAAGGAGTGTTAAAGTGATAGATAAAGAATAAGTGAGTGAGTGAGTGAGTGAGTGAGTGATTCACTATTTCCCACCAAACCCATTTCCCATTTTTCCCCAACCCCATTCCCTCTTTTTTTTTTTTGTCTGTGTGTTCATTCTTTTCCTTCTCTTCTTTTTTTTTTTCTTCTTAAATAGACTATAACCACAGTTCAGTTCTCCAAGAGAAGAGCCCTTTCTCAAGGCATAATTTTACACCCGACATTACGTGGGTAGACGCGGGGCTTCTGACCGGGATCGTCCACTCCCTCTGGTGTGCGCTGCCCAATATCCGCCGGCGGTGCAACCTCTAATTTAGAGATAAAACTCTCTGTATATCCAAATGAGATGATGGCTGGTTGATTAATTAAATCCCCACCGTCATCTGTGCGTGGACGTTCGATAATCGCGTGATTCATCCCATATGTGATACACGCCTCCATGATATCTTCACACTCCTCCTCTGTTGCCCCGGCCAGGCGAATCATACGCTGGTCTGTAGGGCTGTAGTTAATGTACATATGGGGCTCACCAAAGGATAACTCCTGAATGGTGAATGTACAGAAGGGATTGAGTAACTGCAGCTCGGGAAGATTGTTCCGCCACCAGTTGCGCACACCGAAGCAGTTGGGATCTTTCGGATTCAACCACACAGTGAGAGACGCTACACATGGCGTGAATCGTGCCCGCCAAGACATCGGATGTCTATCTATATATTTCTTTTTTGTTTTTTTTCTTTTCTTCTTTCTTCTAGCTTAGAAAGAAGGTACAACAAGAAGAAAAACAGAAAAAAGAGAGAAAGACAGTAGAATATTAATGAGAAATAAAATACGTAAAACAAAAAAAAAAGAAGAGAGACTACAATAATCAATAATAACAAAGAAGAAAAAAAAAAAACAGGGCATCATACACACCCCTCAATTTGAAAGGGTTTGAAGTTCTCTTTTTCACTCTCCCTTGAGAGAAAACTCTTTTTTGTTTTGTTTTTTGTACATAAAATACACCGCGAGGAAAAAAAAAAGAAAAGGGGAAAGGAAGAAATATCTCCACAACTATATATATATATATATATATATATATCATCACTTCTTATTACGAGGAGATTTCTTTTTGGCATCTTCCACCACCAATTCATCCTCCTGGACTGGCTGTGGTAACTGTAACTGTCTCTCATACAGAACATCACTCAATGTTTTCTGCACCTCTCGAAGTTTAGGATCACCACTGTGAAGAATAATAAATGCGCGTAGTGTGATAGATGCACAGTAGAGTTCTGGTGGATGTGTAGAACTGTTCTGTAATGTTGACATCTCCGCATCATCACTTGGTTCACGAAGAGACAAAATACGAAGAGCCTCACGAGCCCCATCAACTGTGACATTTCGGTTATCCCCAAGGTTTACACAACGCAACACTGTATTACCAGGCACACGAAAACTGTTCTCCATTCGAAAACAATCCCGATCAAAAGGTGTTGTAGGACGTATTAAAACAGCTTCTGTTTTCTTTGATTTGGCTTGTGATCCTTTTTTAGAATCTTTCTTCTCATCTACAACGGCAGGAAATTTGGTTTGATACCACGCATTATATAATTCTTGATAACTGGGATAGGCTGGTGGAGCTGTAGAAGCTAGTTGTTGTTCCCGCAAAGTCGCATCACGACGTGTAAGATGTCGTTTACGATATGCTATTAATTTTTCCACTGCTATATCCTGCATACGAAAACAATCCACCAATTGAAGTACTCCTATATCTCCAATTTGATTGTGTCCTAGATCTAGTACTTGTAAAGTGCGGTTCTCTTTAAGCATATGTGCTAACGCTATTGCACCAGCGTCGGTAATATGATTTCCCCATAAATTAAGACTTACCAACTCACTGCGTGGATGACGAGCTAGCAATGATGCCATTGTAATAACATCATCATCTGTTATGCCGTTACCCCGAAGACTTAAATGTTTCACACCTGTTAATAGCATAGCAGGCCAACCGCGTGGAACCAAAACAGGAAATTCCTTATCTATTTGTGATATTTGATCTTGTTGTTGTTGCTGTTGTGCTTGCTTCTTAGAGTCAACTTTTCCTTTACGATCTTTTTCATCACGAACCTGATATTCAATTGGTGAGAGTACACTATTGAGTCCTCTATATGCAGATGGTGCAAATTTAACACCCTCCATTAAAGCTGATCGTTTTAACTTTAATGATAGAATATCATCTGTAGTTCGACTATCACTCTCTTTTAGTTGAGAAACAGACTTTCGTACATCTCCAGATGTAGTTCCTGATACTTCAGGTGATGGTGTTACCATTTCATCAACTGTGGTTCCAAAGGATAAATCCAATACCATTTTTCCTTCTACTGTACCACCTGTACCACCAAGTGTTTTTGACGATGTCGTCAATGGGATTGTAGGGTCTTCATAAAACCCTGGGTGGTGAATACTGTTGAAATCAATCGTTACAGAGGCCACACGACGACTTTTGTATAAGGATTCTACAAGAAGAAAATAACTTTCCATAGATAAACCACAACCCACAAATTCAACAGATACAAGTGAAAGACAATGTGGTATGGCAAGTGCAAGAGGTTTCATATCTCGTTCATTAAGACAAAACTTAAGATTACGCATCACAATAAAAGTGATCGTTGGAGGAGCTGCTTGGGGATTTGTCTTTGAGAAATCATCAATAACAACTTCCTTCTTTCTGTTTCGCCCACTCGTAGTAGACCCAGAACGCTTTGTTGGAGCTGTAACTGGAGGAGCAGGAGGAGGAGCAGCAGCAATAGGAGGAGAGAAAGGAGCAGCAACAGCGGCAATTTGCTCTAATGTTAAACCTGTGATTCCAGAACCAGCCGCTAGACCGGTATTCAAAGTCAATTGCATCTCCGCACACTTTGCCTCCTTCTCTTTACGTCGCTCTTCATTAGTGAAGATGCTGCGGTATAATTCCTCCCGTTCTGTGAGACCAAGTGCATGGCAGTAGGCTCCATAATCACAACGGAGATCCCCAGATGGCTCAAATAACATTTATTGCTTCTTGTTTGCTTTTCTTTCTTTCTTTACTTCTTGTTCTCCTCTCTCTCTCTCTCTCTCTCTCTCTCTCCTCTTATTTATCAATCTTCCCACTTTCTCTACCTCTATAGATCCCTACACTCCTGTGTGTGGGGGTTGGTAATGATACTACCCCCAATGTGACATAAAAAAAAGAAAAAAGGAAGTGCAAAGAAATGTGTAAATGTACGCCAGAGATCAGAAATAGTAGTGTGAGATCATTAATATAAAAATTAAATATCAGATAATACAAAACGAAAAAAAAAAAAACGAAATTTGAAACAAAAAAGTGCCTTTTTTTTTGTAGATGCAGATAGATCCACTCTCCATGGAATGGGAAAAAGTGACTGTATACATACTGTTCCCCTGAAGTATTACTTCTGAGGAAGAAAA